CAGTTGTTTTCCCACTTCCTCAAACCCGACCTCTGTATGAAGCATGAGATGGGTTTGAAAGCTCTAGACACTCTAATTTTCTCAACTGTTTGAACCACAATTTCAAGAAATTGTTTGCAAACACCAATTCTACATTAATGAAGAAAGATTTTCTCATTCAGTGTCTACTTCAGGTGTTCCCTTGACAGAATCTGCTGTGTAATACTCAGTTGCAGGAAATACACTAAAAGTTAATGCTTTCTGGCAATTCATTTTTCTTAATTGTTTTAAACCCTGGGTTATGATGCCTGTACCATCAAATAGAGAGAGGGTGTGGAGGTCAGCCTTTGCCTATAGTAAGATTTTGTTGTATCTCAGACAAAGGTAACTGAAACACCTGCTGAAAATCCTGCTCCTGTGACAGAGCAGACTGGTGCWGAGTAATGTCCGGCTCCGCAGGCACCTTTACCATCACTCAGGTAAGGAATACAGATAGTGCCTGTTTTCCAATGGAAGCAGCATCTGTATGCTTCTAGGATTTTGGCTACATCCATCCCCTTATGTATGGCTTGATACTTGTGATAAGTTCTGAGAGTGCTGTATAAACAAACCAAGATGCTGCTTTTCTCTTCTTTTTCTACTCTGCCTTTGTGTCCATATTTGCCACAAAGTAAGTTTTGCTTAATAATTTTCTTTTTCAGGAAGCTCTCTGGTCTATGTAGTAATAACATCTGCTGATGAGTTGTTTCATTTTAGGAAGATCCTGATCRCAGACAGGATAAGCCAGTTGTGCTTACCCTAACTCTTCCTTTCATTTGATGTCTCACCCATTTACTGAGAAAATGAAACTTAAACTGCTTTTTTCTAATTTGGCTCTTCAACAGGTGTCCTAAAATGCAACTCAAAAGTAACACCAAAGAAATACACAAGCAATAAATTGTCAACAGTGATAATGAAAGCAAAGATTTGAAATACCAAAATGTAAAAGAAAACAAAATGTACCAGCAGCTGAGATCCAGGGAACGCCTACAAGATAGATGCATGAAGAAAGAGAGCGAGATTGAGAAAGAACAACCTCCCTAGTTTCAACAGCAACTGTGAGGCTATTTGTTTTTTGGGTTTTTTTTCCCTAGAATTTCACTGTTTTGCTAGTATTGGGCTTTTTTTTTTTTTTTCAATTTTTCTTTTGGTATCAAACTGAAAAGGGGAAAAAAACCAACCAAAGAACTAAAATTGAAATAAAATGCTTTTTTTATTGGATGCTGGTGCTAAACCTCCCAAGTGTGAGTTGGTTGTTTTTTTTTTTTTTTTTCTGTGCCAGTCCTGTTCACTGCAGGACGTGGGGAGGACAAACTTCCGCTTTCCTTGTTAAGATCTATTTGAAACTGTGCAGCATGGGTGACGTTCCTCACAAATAAAAGTAATTTCAACTACCAAAAAAATCTGAGTTAGTATGCTTTTTCATGTTTGCTTTTAAAAGAATTCATTATTTCAATTTTGTTGCTTCAGCATTTATATGTGAAAGAGACCTGCCTCTTCCTTCAGTGTGTCTTGCTGGATGATAGGTGAGCATGGTTAGGTGGATACACTTCAGTACAAAACAACTTCTGCAAAGAAACTACACAACACAAGCTATAATTTCTGTCCCCTCTGCTCTTCTGGCTCAAATGATGTTTAATGGTTGGCTTTTCCTGTTACTGTCTTGTGGCAGAAGTTTGGGGGATGTGAATTCCTGGAGTGGTTTTTTTTCCTTATCTGTTTGTTAGACTTTTGTGTTCTGTAAACAGTAGAATCCAAGTTTTGAGACTCCTCTGCTCAAAAAGGACACTGGCTTAGTAACTACCACTTTATCCAAGCTTCTGTTCTGAGTAATAGCAGTGTGCTTGACTGGCCTCTCCACTCTTTCTTATTTCAAACCAGTAAAATCTCTGTAACTGTGCCATCTCCTGTTAATGAGCAAAGTACTGAGCTCTCTTACTAGCATCAGTGGTTTTCTGATGTTCCTCCCTAAAAACTGGCTGTCTTGCAGGTATTATCAGTCTACTTCCAGCTGCTGAATATTGGTGCATATCTCGTGTCCTTCATTCTCTAGTCCAGCATTTCTCACGTTCCTGTCTTGCAGTTGTTGTTACCCAAACCTTAGATAAATGTATTTGTTTCTCAAACAAATATTCCCGTCACTCTTTAGGAAGTAAGCAGAGTGCAAGGCATAATTGCACTTGAAAGCCCTTTGCTTCCAGCCTCTGCACCCTGTTGCCTTTGCCTGGGGGAGAAGGAGGGTAGGAAAAGGCCCCAGATCTGGTGTGCTGTAGACTGGGAAAGATGTTGAGATAAACACAGTGTTACTCTAATGTCCTTCCCTGGAAGACTAGGAAATATGTCTGTTCTGACACAAAATAAAATATTATAAGATGAGAAAATATAAGTAATGTACTTTAAAAAAATTCTTAAGCAGGATAAATCTTATTAGGCTTTTTTTTTAGAACTAAATGTTCAGGCACATTGAGAAGAGGTTGGCAATTTCATCATAACAAACAGATGCAAGATATTCATAGATAGCAAAATGTTACTGCATAARCTAGCCTTTTATTTTATTTTTTTTTTAATGAAAGGAGAAATTGAGGGAGAGATGGAAGGAGTGTCCTAGCATTGGATTCTGTTCGTTATTTCTGTCCTGACTCTGTAATAAGAATGTTTTCATAAAAGAGAAGCTAATGACTTGACATAACCTTCTTCATCCCTGAATTCTTTGGTTATGAAAATACAAGCTTAACTCTAGGAAAGTTTAAAGCGCTTACTAAAATTACATTTTAGATGTATGCCCAGCCTTGGGCTGGGCATAAATTGTTCCTTTACTGTGCCACTTGTGCTCTTGTAGGCTGAATTTGGAAGAAAAGAAATAGAAAGCTAGTGCTCAGAAATGAGGATCATTTCTCTTGGCAACTGGTGCTTATGTACTGTAAAAAGGTTATCAGTTATTTGCCTCAAGCAGAATTTCAGATTGAAGCTTAGTTTGTGTTTTGTTGGTTTGGTTTCTTGAAAAGACACTTTGCTCCATGGATTTTTAATTTGTAGAGGAGATAACATGCTGCAAAAACTTCGCTGTGGCTTTTAAGGAAATAAAGAAAGGAATAAGAAAGTTTTGTAGGCCTTTGTGCACTGTTTCATTTGAACATAATTGCAGTACAAGGCATTCACAATCTGGAGAGATCCGTATCATGTAAGCTTTTGTATTGGACAGTGTTGCTGCCATGAGAGGACTACACAGGTGCAACAAATGCCTTGGAAGTGAAACAGTTTCTGTTGGACAAAAGGAAATAAAGCTTTCRCTGCATAGCTTGCTATAAGGGCTGTGAAATCACCTCTACACATCTGACTCTCAGTTATTTGTTGTAGCTTTTTAGAAAGTCTGTTTGCAGATACTGAGTTCAAAGCCATGGCTTTAAGGCATTATGCTTTCTGCTGGTTTGGCTTTTTAAGAGAACCAGTGAGCCTTCAGGACCACTGTGATTCTGTGGGGAGAAAGTGCATGCTCTGAAATGTTCATAGAGTTGTAGGGAAAAGCAGCTGCATGAACCAAGTGTCAGTGTATCCTCCCTCAAGTGTAAAGGGAATGAGAAGATTTTGGAGGCCATGTCAAACAAGTGGTAGCTTGAACTATCTATTWTGTGTTGTTTGCAATAGTGAAGCAATGCTGCTATGATTTGATTTTGAGTGCTAGAGTGGGATAAAGATTCATGAAGCAGAAAATTAATCTTGATGACTTAATACGACCAGCTGATGAGATGAATAATTACTTTTAATATCTTAAGGTTTTTTTAATGTGATAGAGAAAACTCAGAGCTTCGTTATATTTCCTGACTGATGTCAAAATACATTACTATTCAATGTTTGGCTGTAGGTTTTGACTTGTAAATGATGTTAGTAGGAGCACAAAGGACCTTAGAGTGAATCAATTACACACTACCACTTTCATGCCAGTAGTGCCCATGTGATACAGTTCTTGTTCAGAAAAAARGAACATTATTTTAATAGTATGTGTAAATAGAGGTGTTACAGGCTCAGTTTCAGGAAAAATTGCTGCAAGAATCTGAACTGAAATTTTGAAACAATTTATGCTTAAAGGTAACACAGCTAGGATGGATTTGGAGCCTTTCTGAGAACGTGAATTGGGGCTATAATAAAGAACTGAAGAGCAGTAATAGTAAATAAAGTAAATATTCCAAACAGAACTCTAGGTCATGTTCTGACAAGATCAAGATGGCTGAGTGGGTATGTGAAATGTTCATATTTCAGCCCCCTTTTAGTTGTTTTACACTAGAGAGAAGGGCAGAGTTTCAGTCATCAGAATTTCCATCAGATTTATACAGGATGCTCTGGATAAGTCTAATCTGGGAAACTGTTAATGGAAACTCTGTTTTAAGTATTGAGAATACGTATGGCTCCATTTGTTGGCTCTTGGATAGGTTACTCTTGGGCTACTTCATTTGCCAACAGGTGCAGTGCATAACAGAGCAGTAAATTTTGCTGTGGCATGGGTAGTAAAGGCATTGCAGTGYTACACACCACAGTGCTGCTGACATGTCATCACAGAAAATGGGTGCTGGGGAGTTAAAAGATGTCAGCAATCCCATTTACATGAGCACTAGATGGGGCTGTTAATCCACATATTTTTTCTGAAAATTTATAGACACACCCCTGTGACAGGAAATAAGGGTGTTGCAATGTGGGCTGTCTGGGCTCTGTTGAAGGCTGTAGGGGGGATGAAATGTGGTAGATGGTGAGTAGCAACCCAATAAATGAAGAAATCCAACCTAAAATTAAAAAAAAAAAAAATCCAAGAGTGGTAGAAGTATAAATACTTGCTGTATAGTTTTTCAAGGAATAAGCACTGCTGCCTCTCCCTAAGTTTCCTCTGGTAACCATCACCCAGCTGGAAAGAAAATCTTGGGGGAGAAAGAAGTTCACACATCTTGCCAACTTCTCTCCCTACCGTTTGTCACCATTAGGTGTTTGTGGTTGCATGTGTGAGCATTTTCAGGAGTAAGAAAAAGAGCAGCAGAGATGAAAAATGTTCAGAGGTATCCTCAATACCCCTCCTGTGATGCCATCTGTTGATGGTGGTATAATGCCTTCTCCCTCAGGGGCTCTACAGAAGAAAAAAAAAAAATTCCAAAATTCAGAAAAGAAAAGTTGTAAAGCGCTGACATTTGAGGGCTGAGAAAACATTACCAGTCTCKGTTCATAGAATCATGTCGTGATAATGGCCCTTTGCTCTGGAGAAATACAGTATGTTGACAGTGTTGTGGAAGGTGTCCCAGCCCATGGCAGGGGGCTGGAACATGATGTCCTTAAGGTSTCTTCCAACCCAAACTAGTCTCTGATTCTGTGATTGTAGCCTTCCAATCACAGGAGAGAGATTTCAACTTTACATAAAAGAAACAACTTCACTGGGTGATACAATTAAAAAGTGTATTTTTTAGAAGCATGATTTTTGAGCAGTATTCTCTATTTTTAAACACTGGCCATCTGGTTTAAATGTCTGAATGAAAACTGATCTTTCTGGAAAACCTACAGTCAATCTATACTTAGCATTTTATGGCCAAAAAATGCCAGAAAATCACAAATTCCATTACATTCCTACACAATCTGTTAAAATACTGCCTCRTCAAAGAATTTCATTTTAATACAGAATTAAAATGTGAAGACAATGTAGTCAAAGGTATCCAAGTAACAACAAGCCATTAAAAACCCTCMAGAGATTATTCCCAGTGAAAGTTTTCTCATGCTGCTCTGCCAGTTTGCCGTACCTTGGTTGGAATGAAGACCTACCCACTGGAAAGTCAAGTGCAAGTTTTGTTCTTTACCATTTGTATCTGTATAAATACTTGATAGCATTAAAAAAAGTTTAATTGCTTACATATTTCTTACATATTTTTCACTTMTGTGGATAAACATTCTGTCTGAATTTAGACCAATTTCAAAGAAATACATAGTCAAAAAATCAGCACATTTTTGAGAGATCATTTAGATATGATTTAAATCTCTTCAGAGGAGATTGAGATGCTCTCACTTGCTATATGKTGCTTATTTTTTAGTTAAAAGAGCATGATTTTAATGAAGGGGAAGATCCTTAAAATTGCTGCACCAACTTCTATCTCAGATGAAACATTCATTTATCTATAACCACAAGCCACGAGGTGGTGCTCTTAATCCACRTAATGACTAAAAAAGTAATTTTTTTGTCCTGTTCTAATATTGCACAGTAAGAACATATAGAGAGAAGCATGTTTTATAACATGGTTAGTTAGGTTTCTGCAGCAATGCCACCACACACACTGCAGTCTATAATGGTAAAAAAATTTTACTTAAATAAGTAGTGCCACCTTGAGGGGGTTTGAGAAGAACAATCTTTCTGGGGAAACCAGTTCAAAGAAATGGTTAAAATTCTAATGGAACAAAATGAAACAACTACAGATGACCTATCTGAATAAWAAAACTCTAACTGAACACTTAGCTAACAATCCCACATAAAACCAGCTCAATCTACCTGCAAATCTAGAATTTCACCTGTTTTTCATTTGGAAAAATAAGCAATTCTTCAGTTTTCTTTGCAAGGCATGAACTGGTGCAATGCCACTGTGATGGTCCATTACAGTGCCCCTACCCTCCAGTTTGTTCAAGTCTCAAAGAATTCCAGTTTCATTGACAATGGAGGAAGTTTGATCTCCCAGGAAGAAAGAATTYGTGTAAATTGTGAGTGCAAACACTACAGGGATTACTGATGGGCATACAAATACATTGCTACCTTTTACCTTCAACAATACAAAGCTATATGTGTAATCTCATTAAAATACCTCAAATACTACAAATACTTCAAATACTACAAATACTTCGAATACTACAAATAAGTAGCTCTTAGCAAGATGATAGCAAATCTATTTCCCACAGTGGCTATGAAACCTCCACAGCTGGAAGAAAAAAACAGGCGGGAGTAATTTTCCAAGGGAAGTCGTTCTGCCAGCGTGACTGAGTTCTGAATTCAATTTATTCCTTCTTTTGCCCTTCACCTCTAGATTCCATTAGTGTCTCTTGCCATTTCTTCTCCACCTGCTCTTTGCACCTTAGGAAGGCATCTTCCAAGTGCATCATGGCATTGGCCAGGTCGGGGTTGGTCCGGATGGCTACCAAGTTGTAGGTCATCCAGGTTGCTTGCACTGCAAACATAAGTATTGCTAAACCAGGAATTCTTGGCAGAGAAAAGCAACGGCTGATTCAATAAGCCAATAAAATTAATTATGATSAGAACTCAGAGAAGACTGGAAGATAAAATGGAAACTGCCTACAGTAATTCTCAATAAATAGACTGTTCAGTACTACTTCTTTAGAAATGTCTTAAAATACTTCATAATGAAAGTACACTGATGTAAATTAAGAAAGGAAGATCACCTAAAACTTACAACAAAACAGGTAATCAAACAGAAAGGTTCAAGAGACTGTTTTAAAATATATGTATAGTATGTAAGGAATCCTCTCTCCAGACTACTTACAGCTCAAGTGAGGAGGAGTAAGATCATGCAACATAGAAATGAAAAATTTTAAGAACAACTTAAATAATGAAATTGATTTTGAAATAATGAGTATCTGATGAAACTGAGCAAATAGTTTTAGCCCTTATGTGCCTAATGTCCCTTTTATTTYACCAAGAATTCTCTGTAGTGCACGGACCTGAGAGGTGGCATGTATCCTGCCATTTTTCAGAATGAAGTCTCACTTTATGTACCATATTTTAACAATTGYACATTAAACACCTTAGTAGTATTCCTGTTTTTAACCAAAACAGTGAACTAAGCATTCATCACATATTGATTTTTAATTCTGAGCCATCTGAACAGTCTAAGTTATTTGCATGCTTTTTCCACAATTAAGAACATGAGGGCATTAGTTGATGATTGTTTTAATTTACATTTCTATCACAGAAGTTTGTAGAATAAACAATAAATCTTCAGTGACTTCACTCTAGTACAAAAATCAGTATAATTCTTAATGAAGATCTGTACCTGTATTTTTTTCCATTTGGTCCAGAAGTTCTTCCAAGTCCCTTGAGTGGTCCATCATCCTTTCCATGTTATCATAGTTTCTTTCCTGAGATTCTGATTCAGCCATCTAAAAGGAAACCAGGAATTTCCTACTTTATTTTAATCTAAAGAAAGTTGATTTTCACAGCTGAGACAAAGTAGTATTGCAATAAAAAATAAACTTAAAATAAGCAGATTAATTTTAGATTGAAATGTAAATTCAGCAAAAATATGACATTAAGGTTACTGGTATGCTGCATATTATTTTCAATGCACTTTGAAATCAATTTAAAAATGTTTATGCCAAATAAAGATTTTTTGTGTCACTAATAACCCATATCACTGTGTCAAACTCTTCATGAGCAAACTTCATTACCCTGTTGACGATTTTCTTCAAGCTTCTCTCCCAAATATTCTGATGCAGGGTAACCCCTAATTTTCAAAGTTAGTTATAAAATCCCCATTTGTAACCGGGGTTTATTTCACAACTGCAGGCTCCAGCCAGGTTAGTACAACATTCATTTCTGTCACCACTTAGGAAGCCAAGCGATTATGATTTCCTGACCCCTTCTTAGTTGTAGGGAGTGAAATTCTAGGATGTAAAAAAGCTTGGGGTAAAAACAGTTTTAGAACCTCAGTGTTAATGAAAATGTGACACAAAGCATGGTCTTCAATTTCCTTTTCTGAAAACCACTAATGGATGGGACGGAACCATGTGAAAGAGACAAGAGTTTCACTGTAGTGACTTTATACAKCACACTGCATAATCTTTATCCCATGATTTCTCAGACTCGGAGCATATCTGTTTTACGGGTTTTATTGTCGACACGGGCGGAAGGAACGCCATGGGGGCTTGTAATGGCTTTTCAGCATTTTAAAACAGAGGCAAACCTCAAACGCTGGATGTTCCAGGTCTCTCCATGCAATGAGGTAAAACTGACGCTAACAGGGCAGCCCCTGGAGCCCTGGGAGAGCCCAAGCCTGCCACCCTTCGGCCGCCGCCAGGGCCGCGCCGCCGCCCCCGGGCCCGCCCTCACGGACGGGGCGGGCGGTAACGGGACACCAAAACCTCACCCGGCGCCCGTGCYACACCCTCCCGCCCTCGAGCTCGCGAGCTCGGTTGGTTCTGTGTTTCACGAAAACGCGCGCTGGGGAGAGTTCGGCGGCCCGGGGAGACAGGTGGTTGGCACTGCGCGGAGCCGGGCCCGGGCTGTGGCTGTGTCCCGGCTCCGTGTCCCGGCTCCGTGTCCCGGCTCCGTGTCCCGCCTGCCTCTAGCTTCCAGCGCCGCCGCGGCCGGCTCCGTGCGGCATCACGGACCGAGCCGTGTGTGTGGTTTGGGTGGTTTCTAGGTGTGGTGTAGCTGTCCTGGAGTAAAGGGGATGGTTATGTTAATAAGGTTGCCAGTCTACTGCCATTCAGGGCGCTTAATCATAAGGAAAAAGCAGAGAAGGACAGAGGACGTTAAACAGGACGGTGCCCGCTCCTGGGGCAGGCCGGGTGTGCTGGGCAGCGCCGCGACCCTTGGGCCCTTGGGCAGCGCGGTGCCGAAGCCGCCCGCAGGCCGGACCAGA